AATCTTAGTTTCCGATACCATCAAACAATAGTACATCCTACAGTGGTCAGCTACATATAGTATACACTGCATAAATGGCACCTAAATTTGAATAACAATAAGCACTTATTGACTGTCCCTAAGGGAAACAGCGAGGTTTGTTTCCCCGCGAACCTCAATGCTCCCCAAGGCGAAGCCGAGGGGAACATTGAGGTCGAGGGAAACAAAACTCACAGTTTCCCGCGGGACCAGTCATTAAGTGTTTTGTTATATCTCACAACTCAAAAATAGAAAAAAAACTGCGAAGAAATCGTTTGCTTGACGCCGGCTGGCTCACAAATTTGCCGCGGTTTCAAGGAGCACGACCTGATCACTTGCGAGGCGAAAGTTATTGTTTCCTTAGTGAGTTAATGTCTTTTGTTCGCCCTAGGGAGTTGGTTAGTTTTGACCCACGACACGTGACACGTTCTCCTCCAATCGGAAAACGTTTTTGAGATGGGAGGTATAACAATACTTTTTACATTTAAGCCTTGTGTCTATGTTTCCAGACAAAGGAGTTTTCACATGAATGTGAGGCTTAGAATGTATAAGTCGTTATTCAAATATTTGCGCCATTTATGCAAAATGTCTATATAACTTTTGTTTTACGCTTACTGCTGATAAAATCAGAATCACGTTCAGTTTAGGTTTAAAGGCATTTTGTCCAGCCACAGCTGTGTTGGTACCAAAATCTACAGTTTGAAAGTTAGTTTGGGTTAGTAAATCATATACCTTCGGTTAGTCGGCTATCAAAGAAGCTGCTGTTTGTAGTGTTTTAATTCATCCTTAAGAATTCATAAACCGACCAATCATAGCTCAGTACGTGGACGTAAAATTAGTTTCTTGATTACCTACTATGGCAGAGAGACCGTCAAATAAAGCAGTTCCTGATCAAGTTTGTCAGTCTCTTACAGCTTTCCCCCTTGTACTTCTTTCTTGTTACAATCGTTTCTTTCATGTTTGAGGAAGATTTAGAACTATTGCTGAATATTTCAATTCCTAAGAGCACTAAAAAAAGAAAATTGACCGTTATGCGACTTTAAACCCCAAAATGTTTCAAACAGGAAGTCAATTTGGGGCGCTTTTGCTTGATATGTAGAGAAATAATTGGGAAACTGTCATTTGGAAAAAAAAA